GGAATTGCTAGGCTAAATGACAGGTAAGCCTGTATCTGTCCTTCTGGAGCAGATGCAAGTTTGCTCCTACTGCTGCTCTCACCCAGCCAGTTGTGGTGAACTCTGCTCCACAGCCCCTTGTAGCTACACTTCCCTGACACCGTGCATGAGCAAAAAAGCCATGCTTTTTTAAACCAGTGTATGAGAGCGAGCTGGGTTTCATGCATGTGTCCTGTAATTAGCACTTGTGAATAAATTTTTGAAGAAGGTAAAGTAGATCTGGCACCCATCTGTCAGAGAAGTGAGAAAACTTGCTTGTCTGGTGGGGAAGAGGAAGAACCATGCTGGCAGTTTTGAGTTCCTTCCACCCTGTAAACCTCTACAGAGTTGGCAGAAGCATGGGGGAAGAGAGAAAGAAGTTCATTTTTTAAATTCTTCCTGACATAGTTTACACATGTTCTCTTACTCTCTGCCTCTCTTCTTCCTTTGTCTTGCTAACTTTTCCCTCATCGCAAAATGTTTACATGTGGGGAATGGTGAGGTAACACAGCATAGACTAGCTAATGATAACTTACTACAGATATGTCATATATTTCTAATTTGGGGCTTTTCCATGCTCTGTAGAGGTTGCTAACAGTAGAATTGAATGCTCAAAGCATTCATTTCCTCCATCTGTAAATATATAGCGAACCTGCACTATGTCACATTTCCTAGGACTGCATGGTTATAAAGGAAAGACCCACTTACAATGCTCTCTGCCTGTCTTCTTCCTTTGTCTTGCTAACTTTTCCCTCATCGCAAAACGTTTACATGTGGGGGAATGGTGAGGTAACACAGCATAGACTAGCTAATGATAACTTACTACAGATATGTCATATATTTCTAATTTGGGGCTTTTCCATGCTCTGTAGAGGTTGCTAACAGTAGAATTGAATGCTCAAAGCATTCATTTCCTCCATCTGTAAATATATAGCGAACCTGCACTATGTCACATTTCCTAGGACTGCATGGTTATAAAGGAAAGACCCACTTACAATGCTCTTGATTCAGCCAGGGCAGCCCTTGTTTCTAACAGCAGCTGTGTTTAACTTTTTCTGAATATAATAAATACCTATTGAGCCATTCTTTTTGCTTTTTGTAAATTTTGTGTCCCAGCAATCTGAATTTAGTGTTGCTGTAATCTCACATTGTAATGTAATGGCAATAAAATGATTCCCATACAAGTCTAGAGAGAAACTGTGCTAATACCATTAAAATCTGCTTACCGAATCAAAACAAATGCGGTGTTAGCATGTGGAAACTGCGTTTATGCGATTATAATGTTTCAGCAATACGAGATTACTGTAGGAAGCAACTAATCCAAATCTAGAGAGACTCCCCATTACAAGACGATTAAAATGACACAATGACTGAAGCGCAAGTTTCAGATGGGAAAAGCAGAAACACAAATCTTGTCATCAGTATTCAGGCAAAACAGCTATTGAACTCAGTGGAGTTTTTGCCAGAGTCAGGAATGCAGTATCATGACCTTTTTAGCAGCAAGTCTCTTTTCTCTTATTTTTCCTCTAGGAAAAATATTTACTTCACCAATATTTAATAGTTGGCTAACACTGAGAGTCATATTTTATGCACCCTACAATTGGTGGTTGTAAAGATTTGTCCACAGTTTATCACAGAAATGTTAAGGTATTGTTTCAAAATACAAGTTTGGTTACATCTTAAAGCAATTCTATTTTTTTCTTTTTATCTGAATATGTAATTTTCAGGAAATAACATTTATTTCTCTGTTTATACAGCACCTAGAGCAGAGCAGCCTTGTTCTATGCAGAGCACCTTGGCGATACCGCAGCATAAATTAGTGATTTCCAAAACCAAAATACCTGTTATTGCCAGATAAGAGCCTACCTGTTTGTCTGTATCATAGGAATGGGCACCTTTCCCCCTCCCCTCAGACTGCGTTAAGATTCAGTAAACATAATTCACACATCTTATGTAGGACCATCTAAAATATACTTGTTTTGTCCAGGATTGGTCTGGTTCCATCAAGTGAATCTTATTAGGAACAATGTATCATTATAGCATAATCAGGGCATGCTGCCTGTGTAAATGACAGTAGGGAAGACATCGGGACAGTGGTTTTAAAAATAATTCTAGTCACAGGTTGTTGGCTGTCTTTATTTTTCATAATTTTTTTATTAAAAGCGGTGGTTTTCTAAAACTGTGTTAGTAAACAGGCACAGGCATTAATATTAATCATATTTTTCATGCAGATAAAATTACGCCTACTTTAAATGCTGTTTGTGTCAGTTTCTGGTTTTGTGATGCTACTTATATTTATAAAAATCCTTGGCCTCAATCAAAAGGTTCAATAGTAGACATTGGTTCTATAAACTCTGTAGGTGTGCTATAATCTGAAATTTAGGGTCTAAAAATCAACAGGTTAGTATCTGCTACAAGAGAAACCTGGCACTGGAACTGGCAATTTTAAATGTTTCCTGCTGTTACAAATCAGAAAACAGCAGCCTTAGGCTATAAGAAGATGTCACACATGCAGTCATAGGTCTTTGCAGTGGTCAGGCCAGATTAATTGAGGGTAATCTAAATTAACTGTGTTGGAAAGGAAGTAGTGGGAACAAATGTTGAAAGTCAACTTTTTATCAAAGTAGTAATCTGAAAGTGAGCAAAAATTCACATTCAGTTAGAGTGGCCTTTTTGAGTAACTGCACTGTTAAATAACTATAAAAATGAAGTGGAAACTTGTTAAGGAAACAGACTGTAATCGTTTTGTGTAAAGTTTTAGCAAAAGAACTTAAATACTTTAAATATTTTATATAACAAAATATTTTTTATGTAACAAAATATTTATATAGGTTTGTTTTCCTAACTTAATAAATGGATTTGAAAATTGTCAGTGAACATGGGGAAAGAAAGGTGTGTCTCCAGTGTGCAGAGTAGTTATCACTCTATGCTGCCAGGGTTTTACTAAATACCGGAGTGTAGATATTTAACGCAAAAAAAAAAAAAAAAACCCAGTGTAGATATTTAACGCAAAAAAAAAAACCCAAAACCCAAACCAAAGGTAATGCAATTATCTTAGAATTATCTTAGTCTCTTTGCTGTGCATATAAGAATGACTCAGATCATTGAACTTTCTCCAAAATAATGGGTTACTCTATAGAGCCTCAGCTTTGTTCAAGGATAGGATTAATGATGGGGTTGGACAACTTAATTGAATTGCAGCTAGCAGCAGTTTCTAAGACAGGTATTTTGCTTTTAATTATTTGCTCAAGAATAATATTTTCTGAAATCATGCACTTCTTAATTTATTTGGCAAAAAATAAATCATTATTTTAATCAGCCAGCAGCCTGTTCTATGAGAGTAATAATTATTCTGCCTTCTCAAACAAGTGAACATGCTAGTCTAGAAATGAAATTCCTAAAAGAACAGTTCTTCCTAAGTCTGCTTTTACACAAGGCAAGCAAACATAGTCAGTCAGTCCTTTCTCTTTCTTATGGATGGCCAAGTTTTCACATTAAAATAGCTGCCAGCACTGCAGACTTCACTAGGCAGGTGATATCTGCCTTTTGCAGGGGCTGGGTCACTTTTGTACATTGGTACTCTGACAATAACTGCTTCTCCTGAGATGAAAGTATCCCCAAAGAGACCTCGACATTCTTGTGCCCTTTGATATGTAGAGTTCAGTACCCTTCAGATTTCATTTTTTCTGTCGTCCTGGTAGATTAACTTTAGTAGTTAAAAGGAAGGTGTCCTCTGAGGGCTTCACCAGTTACAAATCTCTGTTTATGATATTATTCACTAAAAGGGAGACAGAAATGGGAAAGACCCTCTCTTTAATCAGTAATGCATGCTCTAGTTAGTCCTGTCCTCTGGACATGACTAAACATGTATTTTGTTTCATAACTGATGATTTTGGTTGACTAGGGATTATAACTATATATCCTCAAGCCTTTGCAACTAGCATCAGGAAGATCTAACATGAACTGGGTAGTCAGCTATGTTTAATGTTAATATGGAACATAAACAAAAAAGATTACCCCCACCCCCAAAAGAAAAAAATACCCCCAAATCCCAATGGGGAGAGCTGCAGCTAATTCTAACCTGTAGCAAGTCAGGCCAAACTTGCACAGGGGAGATGCCTTTGACATGAACCGACTGCAGACAGTAGCCTCAATGTATATCTTCATTACCATTCATTTGAAGTTTTGAGAAATAACATTGTTTCATTCATGTTAAACATGAAGAAAAAAAGGCTTTTAGCAGCTGAGCCATATAAATCGTTAGGTTAAGGTCTGTTCTTAACTGCTAAAATATTTGGCCAGTGAAGCTGATGGCTTCTGCCCCGCTGGTTGCGGGCCATGCTGTATCCTTAGCGACTGTTGTTGGCTTTGGAGGAGTTGTCCTGGGCTGTTCCAGACCTCCACAGCACAGCTGGCAGGAGAACCTGAGCCTCAGTTGAAGTCTAAGGAGCAGATGAACACCCCCATCCCGGCGTTCCTCATACAAGGTACCCAAACACGGACAGCTTCCTCGGTGTGCAAGGGGGATAGTGGGTCTTGGAGGACACAGATAAATAAAATGAACATACCAGTAAGGAATATTCAGCCTTGGTGCCAAGTCTGTTCATCTGGTGGCTCAAGCTGACAAAATTTGACAGCTGCTGAAGAGCAGAGAATCTTAAATGAACATACAGTGGTTGTTATTAAATAGGAAACATTTATCTTAATGTGATATTGACTATAGCACAATAAATGATGATGATTTCCCTGTACTGGAATGTGATATTTTTACATTGCTAGAGTACTGATACAGGCACGGTTCAGTAAAATAAATGCTTTGTTTTTCATGTTGACCACTCTACTGGAAACAGCGTTTGAAAACTTTCCAGCAAACACACACAGCATGTAGGTATGTGTGTAAGAGAGAGGAAGGAATTCAGAAATTTTGTAAGAAATGTTTGCTTCATCTGAAATGTGTTTGTTTCCTTTCTTCTTCCTTCCCAGACTCTTTTAATCTGATTTTTTTTTTCCTTTTGTTGAAGAAAAATGCCTTCCTTGAGAGGGAAAGCGCAGACTGTCTTGGGCCCTGTGGATCCAGACCGCCTTGGCTATACATTGACTCATGAACACTTGACTATGAACTACAGCAGCTGTTTCTGTCCACCTTCTCCAGGCCAAGAGCCTCTGTCTGATGGGCCCATTGAGATGAAGAACTTGTTTTGGATTAAGCAAAATCCCTACAGCCATAAAGAAAACCTTCTTTTGTATCAGGAAACAGATGCTGTGAAGGAGGAGCTGTTGCATTTTAAAGCAGCAGGTGGTGGGACCATTGTGGAAAACACAACCACAGGAATTGGTCGGGATGTGAATACTTTGAAGAAACTTGCTGAAGAAACTGGAGTCCATATTATTGCTGGGGCTGGGTTTTATGTGGATTCCACTCATTCTTCTCAAACACAGGCCATGACAGTGGAGCAGGTAAGACTTAACCATTGCTTTGGAGTCTCTCTCCTATGAATTATCCCTGGGTGAGCCAAAGTTGGAGAGAAGTTCCAGAAAAATAGATGAAATCTAGAAGTTCTCAATGTGAAAAACTTGGGAACAATGTTACTGCTTGCATGTTACAGCTGGACAAACGCTTCTTGTGTGTGCTGGGATTATCTGTCAGCACTTCCCATTCTTAAGTTCCATTTTCTCTCAGGGATTTGTTATAATGCAACAGTAAAAGGAAAATAAAGTACTTCATGTGTGGGCATCTGGTACCACACCAATTATCCTGTTCTTTTTACAGTTTTTAAGGAAGAAGTATATCTCTTCTGCTTCTTTTGTCTCTTTCTGGATAATTGCTTCCCAATGAGATCACCCAGAATTCTTGTAAAAAGCATAAATAATTGCAATAGTTACAGGACAGTTGTAAATCATTGGTCTGCTCAGGCTGGCAGCTATATCTCTCTTCTCTACCATTTGTCCAGACTTTTCAGGGCAGAGTCTACATCAAATTGTTTGTACGGTGCCTAAGACAATGTGTTAATAATGACCAAGGTCCCCAGATACTCGTATAATAATAAATATACATTCACCTTTTATTAAGAAAATGTGATGATAGGGAGAAGAGGGAAGGGAATTCTCCAAGGGAGAAGACTGTGAATGCAGGTGAACAGAGCTGAGAAAAATTTTTTTAAATCTGTCACAGTTTACAGATAAGTCAAACTAATTTTAAAAATCAATGGTCAAAACTTGAGCAGATGTAAAGTGATGCAGCGCTGCCAACCACACTGGACCCAAGCTGGCCCAAGCTGTACAGAACGGTACTAGTTTTGCTAAATATTCTTGCACTGCTTGAAATTTGATACAAGTAGATTTCCTGGGGCAAAGGTTTCCCTTCTGTATTTGGTGGACCACTGGACACCCACAGATGTCCTGTACTCAGCAGGTAATAAATGATTAATCCAGTCCAGAAGACAGCTGGTTACTTAGAAAGGGTTGTGCTGTGACTGATCTGTGATAGCCAGTGGTTCCTCATTTGCCAGTGAATTTGACATGATGATGTGTTTTTGATTAGGCAAAGACAATTTGAATATTTTGTTGCCAGCCCTAGCTGAGCTATTTGGTGACACAAGGATGTTGCTGCAGGAGAGATGTTCTTCAGGAGAGGAGTGAATTCTGTATCATAGGATAAAAGTGTTGGGCAGAAGCCTGCTGTAAATTGTAATCGCTTGGACTGGCTTTTGCGTGTAGATTGAGTATTTACCAACATGTTGTATGAGGCTATTGAGGAGACAAGGTGTGGAGTAAAGATAAGTTACAGATTTATTTGAAAATTGGTGTGGGATTTTTTGGTTTCCTGCATTTGCTTGCAAACCTTCCTTCTTCATTTGTTCACTTTATTCTTCCTAAAAATTTCCCCAACATTCAGGGCTGAAGAGTTAGAAGGTCATCATCAGTGCCATTTTGTGCTCTGAATTCCGAATGTATTCTTTAAGATATGTGGCCTATTCTGGTAAAGAAAAACTAAAGCTGTTATAACAAACTGCTTTTACTAGGAGATTCTGATGTCTTTTTTGCCTGCAAATATTTTAAAAGCAAGCTAATTTTGACGCTCTGTCAGGTGAGCTTTGTTCTTGTAGTTCTGAAGTCATTGGAGCTCTTTGTCATTTTATGTCAGTGTTCCCACAAGCAGGATTTGCCTTAAACTTGTCTCTTCAGGATCTTTGCCAGAGTTTCTCCCTTCCCTATCTGAATGACAAGGTTTCCTTATTCTCTGAGCCCTTGTTTTGCAAGAAATTACAGTGAATTGTTTCTGGAGCCAATTCAGGAGTGTGAGGCACAGGTTTCATGCTAAGCTAACTTTTTTTTTTTTTAAAAGAAAAGTTAGTCTCAGCCTAAATCAGTGTTCAAATTTTATGTAGACCAGCTTTCCCAGCAAACCTAGGCAGCTGTCTGAGTGGATACCATTAAATTGATTTGCTTTGTGTTTATTTTGGTCTTAGTGAATGGCTAGCATAACGTTGGTTGACAGAAAGCAGATTTTAACTGCAGTGTTTTCACACACCCAACTGTTAATTAAATAAGTTCAGAAAGACCTCGGGAGTATAACTAGCACAGTGTCCATAGGCCAAATTTGATGCTATTTAACCCAGATAGTATTAACAACCAAAAATCTCATTTTCCTGTTCTCTAGCTTACAGGCATTATTGTTGATGAGATACTCAATGGAGCAGATGGGACTAACATCAAGTGTGGTGTGGTGGGAGAAATAGGTTGCTCCTGGCCTTTGACTCAGAGTGAACACAGAGTGCTTCAGGCAACAGCGCAGGCTCAGTCACAGCTTGGGTGCCCCATTATCATCCATCCTGGCAGGAACAGTGACTCTCCTTTCCAGATCATCCGCATTCTGCAGGAAGCTGGGGCTGATGCTTCAAAGACAGTCATGTCTCACCTTGACAGGTAAGCAGACTATTCTGCCATCCTTCTGGCAGTGTTGTCACAACCCACTGGGGTTTGGGGGAACTACTCTGCAAATAGCTAGGTTTCTCTTAGGCACTGGGATCACGACATGAAGAGTTATCTTTAGGTTTACTGACTTAAAAATATGAAACTGCTTACATAGAGCTTGATGAGCTTCCAGCACTTCAGGTGGGATCAGCTTTTAGGTTCATACTGATAAAGAGATCTGGGGATTTTAAACGCTCTCTTTGAATGCCTGGGAGCGAGATTAGGAATAACTGTAGCCACATTTTTAAAAAAAAGTGGATTCTATTAATGCGTATTCCTACACAAATCATTGCATTTACAAAGTATTAGACATTGAGCAGCTCTCATCAAATTGGGTGGGAAGATGCTAGGCTTCCAGTGTTTTTGAAAACGGCCAGTCTTAAGGGCCTGACCAAAGTCTCTCAGATACTAATGGAGAATTCTTTGGTTTGGCTGGATGCTGGATCAAAGCAGAAGCCAGACCTTTTCAGTTCTGCTACCAGACAGAAGAAATATTGCTTAAAAAGAAAACAGTTGGATTTTGGATAGTTCTTAGCATAGACCAGAGAGCTAACTCTTAGTTTCCTTGAGAGCAAAAACCAGGAGCCCCACGTCAGATGTGGATAGGAATTGGGGTGCTTTTCTCTCTCCAGTTTAGAAACACAGCCCCTGTTACCACATCAGTTTTGTGTGACCTTGTGCTGCTCATGGTGAGCTGGAAAATGTCCAAGCATTGATTAGTTTGGCCAGTTGCTGGATAATGGAGACTGTTTGTGGTCATATGATCCTCAGCAACTGGATTGTTTGCCCTCAATGTGAGCGTAATACAGGCAAGAGCACTGTGCTCCAAATTTCTAATGGTTATAGGCTCTAAGAGCTTGTACATGAAGCTATAGGTGTTTTGTATTCACGCAGAGCTCAATGTTTTACTCGGGGATTTTAGGAGCATAAAATTCAGTGCCACGAAATTATATTTGCTTATATATAAATGATATGGGCATTCTTTATGTATTTACCTGCATTCCATTTTATCTATAGCTATATTTTTCTCTCATTTTTAAAGAAAAACTGATTACTTAAATCTTTGTATGAAAGAGGACTGAGCAAGCTGCAGGTTTCAGTACTTGCGTAGCCATTTTGATAAAACATAAACATCCAGTTATGGTTTTTTGCCTTTATACACTGTTGTAAGTTGTTGAATTCAATGATTTATTGGTGGAAAATAAGCAATATAAGTAGGAAAACAGTCAAGACAGAGGTGCAGTTTCACTAACAGCCGCTGATGCACAATATGACATTTCCTTATACTCCTTCTATCATTACTTTCACACATTCAGGTTGGCACTTGCTGTAACATAGACTCTAAACTACTGCGAAGTTTGGCTTTGCAATGTGCATTTAACATTTTAAGTCTCCTTCAGTGAGAAGAATACACGTGGGAGCATCCCAGTCCCTTAAATGTGAGATAAATTTGTACATAGCTCCATATTTCATGCCTGGTTTTGGCATAGACAGAATGGTAGTTTTCAGGTGGATTTACAGTCAAATGATAAAACTAAAATGGTAGCTACCATGTTTTGCAATTTAGCACCTTGGAACAAAAGGTAGCAAGTGTCCATAGCGAAACTATGGTGCAGATAAAGGCTGGGAAACAAAAGCTAGTGAGTCTTGGCTTTGGTAATTTATTAGGAATTAAGGTTGTAAAGGTATCTTGGTAGAGATCAACATAGATTCACTTGAGTAGCTTTTGTTAGAAGGCTCACAGCAACTGTTAACACATGCCTGTTTGATAACGGTTTGGTGGATGTCCAAACATCCATGAGGTGCTGGAGCGTGTTCAGAGAAGGGCAATGAAGCTGGTGAAGGGTCTGGAGCACAGGCCTTATGAGGAGCGGCTGAGGGAACTGGGATTGTTTAGCCTGGAGAAGAGGAGGCTGAGGGGAGACCTTATCGCTCTCTACAACTACCTGAAAAGAGGTTGTAGTGAGGTGGGTGTTGGTCTCTTCTCCCAAGTAATAAGTGATAGGACAAGAGGAAATGGGCTCAAGCTGTGCCAGGGGAGGTTTAGATTGGATCTCAGGAAAAATTTCTTCATGGAAAGGGTTGTCAAGAATTGGAACAGGCTGTCCAGAGAGGTGGTGGAGTCACCATCCCTGGAAGCGTGCAAAAAATGGGTAGAGGTGGCACTTTGAGACATGGTTTAGTCTAGTCTACCCTTGATTGGCTTAGTGTGGACTTGGTAATGTTAGGTTAATGGTTGGACTGGATGATCTTAAAGGTCTTTTCCAACCTAAACGATTCTATGATTCTATGATCATATCCTGCAGTGATTTATGGATGAGGGCCAAACTACAGGATGCTTCCCTGTGTCCCATCTCCTTTTCCGTGTGTTCAGGGCTGCTCAGGGACACGTGTTGCCCAAAGAGCTAATTCCAGCACCGAGATTAGCAATTCAAGCTGTGGTTTACCAGGGGACCTGATGAAATCACGCTCTCCTGCTCTTTGTTGGGACAGAGCACCCAAAAGCACAACACTAACAGTAGTTTTCAGAAGAAATTGTTCTGGCCGTGATTTTGAAATATATTGTTGGGTGGTTTTTGCCACCTGCACAGGGATGAATACTCTTGGCTACTGTCTCCCTGTGAACTGAGCAGGGCTGGATCTAAAACGACCCATTCTCTTGCTCTGCACTTTGAAAAGTCATTTGGTAATAAATGTTCAGTCTCTGTAAACTGTAAAATTTATTTTAAAATAACATTTTTTATTAATTACAGTTGGCAAGTCTTGGACTCCTTGTGATGGCAGGCTTGTTTGAACAAGGGTTTTTTCTCTCTCAACCCATCTGTTCCTCCTACATGATCCTGTTAAGTCATAATACTGAAATTGTGACATCAGTCATTTCCATAGCAACAGACTGTGATGTAATTGTATAGGGTAAAATTACTTTGTGACATCAATATCTGCAATAACAAAAAAAATTAAACTACCGCTCTTTTGGTTAACTGTGCTGTTCTTGAGGAAGCTTGTTTTTTTCTTAGATGAAGAAAAATATGTTGTGGTTACAAAGATAAAGTTATAATGTATCATTTGAGTGTTTTTGTTTTCCTTTGGATAGCTTATACTCTTGGTAAAAGTGTTTCAAAGAAAAAAAATATTCCAGAGTGCTTTTATTTGAGTTGCCATTCTTTTCTGAATGAGTGATGGGTTTTAGTAGCTTTGTTCCTTCACTTTTCAAATCCGCTGCAAAGCCCATGTCCCAGGTAGTCACAGTGCCATTATATATTTTGGTGAGAGCGTTTCCTTAAGGCGTTCTGGCCAGATCCCAGTGCAAACAATGATATATTGCTGTTCTAATGACAATCTAGAAACATCACTGTACAGAATAGAAACTAGAGACAAAGTTGTGTATTACCGGTGTGTGATGGATGAAACAAGCCCTGGATGTAGCTGTCTCCTGTAACTCTTCTGGGAAAGTAAATCTGTCTTGTGTAAGTAATCCATTGTCTTTTTTAAAAATGTCACAATGAATTAACCTCCTCCTTAAATGTCCTTCCTTGTTAGGTTGTCTCTTGAGAGGGTTAGTGATATCAAAAGTAACTTTCCTGTTTCCATTTAAAGATTATCATAAATGTTTTCGTTATTTCATGGGGGAAGAGTTGGTTTTGTTTTGGTGTTTTTTAATGCATGAAGTCCCAGATTAATGTGAGAAAGACCATGCTGTGTACCAGCTTAAGGTGCACGTGTCAAACAGGAGTCCTGTTTTTCAAAAGGATGAATTAAATCTTAAGATTATTGGTTTTGTTCCTTGCAAGTAGGAAGTTGCAAAATGCCTATCCTTGTACCATGAGATTTTTTTCCTTTCGGTTACAATGCTGGCTTTGTGTTATGTACGTTCTGCAGGACTATATTTGATACAAAGAAACTTCTGGAATTTGCTAAACTGGGATGCTATTTGGAATATGACCTGTTTGGTACAGAATTTCTTCACTACCAGTTCCATCCTGATATTGACATGCCAAGCGACAATGAAAGAATTGCAAGGTATCTGCTTCCATGCAGTTTAAACTATAGTATTGCCATTGACAAATTAATATTATTGGTACTTGTTTTAAGGGCATCACAGAGTAATTCTGCTTGTTCTTCAAAATTGTCTTTTTTCATACTAAAATAATGACACTTTTTTTCCTGCTGCTGTCATGTCTTTAGGGCAGCATGTATAATGTCTTCTGTCTGCAAAGGAAGATGTAGAATCATAGCATTGCAGAAAGTTACTTGAGAAAAAGATCAAGAGCTTTTTTAACTTCGTTCTCCATCCTAATGCCGTGCTGATTTGGTTGAATTTTATCATTTACTGCATTTATATAGACTGTAAAAAAGAAAAGGCTGGAGATACAGGACTTATATTAGGGTTTGGCTTTTGTTTGAAACATAGTATTGGGAAACCTAATGCTGCTACTAAGCATGATCCGAGCCTGCTACATTCCTCATGAACATGCTAACTGAGCAAAACTCATTGGTTGTTTTGGATGGATTTCATCCCTGCTTCTGTCCTGAAAACCAGACTTTTGTTCTTCCAAGCACTTTATCACCTCTCCTCCCCCTCTCCTTTTGCCCTTTCTCTCTTTTGAAGGATGAGATTCCTGTCTCCTCAGAACTCACATGCTCCTCACACTCACAGTGTGAAAATATTGGCCCCACTGGCAGGATACCTCTTCCCTGCTTCTCATCAGCACATGCAGTCTCAGCTCAGCTGCACAGCAAATCTGTTGTGCTGTGCTAACACAAGGTATTGCCAAGGAGATGCATTCCTTGCAGAAACTGTCTGAGACAGGTAGGATCAGCTGGGAATGGGCTTCTCACTCTGTCCGCAGGTGTGATCCTCCTGTGCTATTTGTCCACAGTGTTCGTGTGCAGTGAAGTGGCAGGTTTCTGGGGGGTGGGGTGCCCCCCTGCCTGTGTCTTTTTTCCTTCCAGAGTCAGAAACAATTCTTTTGTTCTCTTTGATGAGAAAGATTTTATGATCCCTGATCACTACTGAAGTAACTTTCTAGCTTTCACCTGTATTTCACACATAGCTTCTCTGCCCCTCATTGTCAGATTCGCCTCAAGACTTTCCTTCTCTGTTTTCAGGCTGTTCTCTTCTTAAGACGGTGCCGTGGTTACTGTTCGCTTACAGCCGAGCGTTTGCTGCTGCTTTTCACACTAGAAATGGTTTCTCTCTCTTAACAGGGCTCTCAGCCTTGCAGTCAGTATTTCAAACTGTTGCAATGAATCTGCAGTTTTCACATTTAGAATGGGTAAAGTTGCTGCCCTCCCCTGTGCCTCCACCCCTCTCCTGTGCCATGGGAGGTCAGCATGTACAGAAGCACTGTGAGGAAGGTGCGTAGAGGAATGGACTACGCCTTGGTTAGCAAGTGCTTGTTCAACCGTGGCAAAGTTTTCATTCCATCCATGATGCTTGCTCAGCCACCGATGTCTCTCCTTAAGTATTTCTTGCAGCAGGCTGTTTATAGGAAGAAAATATGAAAAGTTTGTCTTCTCATTGCATGGTGTGAATATGTGCGCTTGAGTTAGAAGCGCCATTAAATGGATTTTGTTGGGCTTTTGATGCATCCACACTGGACGTACGATGGCAGTGGCAATCTCCTTAGGGGTTTTTTTTGTCAAACAGCACCAGAGAGGTGGAAATCAAATTGACCTTTAAATGCGTTGATGAAAATACTAAATGGAAAATGTATGTTCAGGTCTTGTCTATTCAAAACGTAAACTTCTGTAGTCATGCCACACATGCTCAAATACAGTTTAGCTGTGTGTGTACTTTTGCATTTTTGCTGCAATCTACTGCCAATGCAAGTAAAAAATGAATTTTTTCAGGGACGGTTTTTCTTTGAGTCAGAAGCTTACAGGAATGAGCAAAAAGCAGCGATGAATATGGAATATAAAGGACCATACGCCTCCCCAACCCATGAAATGAGTCCAAATGTAAAAGGAGATGATTCTAAGGTGTCTGGTCAGCAAAGAACTTAGTCCCTCCAGTGTCATTGCTCTCATTCTCTGGTTGGCTTGTGATCTTTCTGTATTTCAGGCTGGAGAAGATACTTGTGATGTTGTAATACTATGGCAAATGCAGTGTTGTGCGCTATATGGCACTATTTATGGTGTTTTTTATGAAAGATGCTAATTTTTTTCTATCTTACTTGCCTTCTTCCTGCTGCCTGTATTGATTTGATCCTGCTACGTATATCTCCTCATAACTAATTGCAATAAAAACTGACAGTAAGGGCTTTCAGATACAGTGTGGTTACTTGTAAAACTAGTATTTGCTTTCTTGCTGATCAAAGCACAGTCGGGAAGGTAAGAATTAGAATTTCACAGTGCTGGCGAATGATGGAATTGGGTGCCTTCATGAGGAACAAGCACTTTCTGGGTCTGGTCTATCCGTCTCTGCCACTTTAATTCTGCAATCTACTACCGAACTAAACTGAAGCTTAGCGGGAAACTTAACAGTCATGCAATACAGACACCTACCAAATAAATTCTAAAAAATGAGCTGAGCAAGGGATTAAGGTTTCCAGAGGGAAATGTGGAACAGAAGGACTTGTTGTAGCAGACTGGTTACAAGGGAGTGACCAACAGGATTACTTCTTTTTCCAAGCTGACTTGTCATTTTGCCAAATCTGTTTAGCTGGGCTGCTGTATTAACTCCTCTTACTTCCTGGGATATGCTAGTACTGTGCAATGCCTGTCTTACCTTCCTCTTTAATGAACACCTTTGAAACATGTTTGGATGATAACTCTCTATATGGAATATGATGCTGACAACTTCAAATGTTTATTAACCTGGTTTGCTAAATGGGAATTCACTAAAGATGTGAAAGTATTTGTGTAAATGAGGCAGGCTTCTTAAAGGACCTATCACACACAGAGTTTGGTCCTTAACAAATGTAATGGGACTAGCTTTGTGACAGCAGCAAGAACTAACCCCATGAATCGATCGTGCTGAGAAGGAGTTCATGTAGGAAATTATTACTTACTCACGCATGTAAAACCTGTGTCCCATGCTTGGTGATGCTGAAGTTCTTGAATTCCTCCATGGACTTAATGGGACTGGGAATGCAAAGTCATGTGCCAGCTGGAAAGAGTTTTCCTTCTCCACTTCGAGATGTGTGGTGGTATGTTTTCAGAGGTGGTTTTTTTCATTCAATAAAATAAGTGGTTTAATTTCAATTAAATATAAGGAGTATGTCTTCTGAGTACCTAAAGATAAGTGTTTTCAGTTGTGATACACTCCACCAGTACAGTAATGTAAAAAATTTAAATCCTGCTCATTTCTCTGCTGTTGCAGAGTGAGTACCTTTCACTGACGGGTATACATTTTATTTTTGCAGGATTCGTATGCTGATCAATGAAGGCTATGAAGACAGAATTCTGATCGCTCATGATGTGCACACTAAGAATAGGTTGATGAAATATGGAGGTCATGGATATTCACATATCCTTAAAAATATCATTCCTAAAATGCTAATTAGAGGCATATCGCAAGATAAAATTGATAAAATACTCCTAGCAAATCCAAAGCAGTGGTTGACTTTTAAGTAGGCATAGTGAAGAAATATTCCTATTTTATAGGGAAGCTTGATAAAATTCAGATTTGTTTCGGGAGAGCAGCCATTTTAAAACTTGGTTCTTTTCAGAGAAACTGGAAGTTATTAATTAGATGAGAACAAACAGATTATGACTTCTAATTAGAACAACAAAATTATGTATTCTCTCTGCATTTTCTCCCTTCTAAAAGTCTGTTCATGAATGATTTACTGGATAAGAGCCTACCTGCAAAATCTTTTCAATTGAAATTTTAAAATAATTGTTTCTCGAGTAATCTAATACTGTTATTAAAAGTTACGAAAAATATTTTTGAAGATGCCTCATCTGGACTGTGAAGGAAATTACGGTTTTCAATTAAATTCCTCTTCTCCAGGGGGTGATTTTAATCCTTGTAATATTGACAATCTTCTAATTATCCTTATTGTCTTTAAATAATGCTTGATAAAAGGTCTGGGACTTTTAAATAGCTTCCATAGACAACAGAAGGCAAAAGAAATCTCAAATAATTCTAAAAAGATATTGTTTCTTTCTAGTTTAACAATGTACTTACTCTTAACTGAAAGTGTAAAAAATACATGGAAAAATAGATTTTTGAATAAAACAATTTGATGACCTCTTAAGCTATGTGCAGTATTATTATGGATGTGTTTTTTCATCACGTTAATTTTTTTATCCTGAACCTTTGGAATCCCACAGCGATCATGTGAAACTTTGTGCGGTCTGGCTTCTTTTTGGAAGGATGCAACACCAAAAGTCAAAATATATTACATAATACAGTTTTAATGAGTTGCAATAGTTATAACAAAGGTTGTGATAGAAGTCTTTACAAATCAGTGTATCAAGATATGATGAAAAAGGAAGAAATGTTTGCCTTATATGTGTTTTTCACATAAAGTGTGTTCTTTGCTCTTGTCTAACTTTAACCAGGGCAGGTGATTTATCCGAAGAATGGTCTTATCCAGTAGCAGTGGTAGCCTGATTTCAAAAGCTTCTTCAAATTTGACCACATACATCTTGCAGTATTGAGCTTTTCCGATAAATACCTTAGTAAATATGCATTGCTAGTTGTAAATGATCTCTAGCTTGGTACATTACTGGTTGATACTATGTAGAACTCTCTAGCTACACTGCTGTTGTGAGTGCGCTAACCGATAAAAGCAACAGTGGAACGAACAGACATGAAGTCAGTTACACATCTGTTATTAAAATACCTCACCTCCTAGAAAAGAAACAGGAGTAATCACTACAGTGTACGGATATAGGTTGGCACTTTGTCCTAAAGTAAAAGCGTTAACCATTCTGGTGAGATAATACACAAGCAACTGGCAGCACGAGGTCCCTTTACAAATCCTAGATGAGTTAGACTGGCGATCCTCTCTTGTAAGCCTAGAGTAACTCGGCATTTATTTTGAACTGGACGACTCAAAACAGAAACAGAAAGGGTAACATGTTCTGCTTAAGAAAAGCTTCACTCATTCAAACAAGAGATTTTTCTTAGAGAGATTTGCAAAATCTTCATCAGACTTTTACTAAGCAGCCAGCACTGAAGAGCTTTTTTGTCAGTGGCAGACACTTTCAGCATTGTAGTGCAGATAAATCTGAGTTTGTACCCTTAGTACATTAGACAAGGTTGCTTGTGGCAAACTACATGAAATAGAAATGCTAGGGGCAATGTCTATTATCCTTTAACAATTTATAGAAATGTTACCTTAATTTTGCCAAAATTTTAAAAATAAATAACATAACCCACTGTGCTAAGGAGCTAGTTAATTATCTTGCTAAAATTTAGGTTTAGAATGAAATCTGCAAGTTTTAACCTGAGAGAAATCAACAGCCTCCCCTCCCAAAAACAAAACAAATGATAAATCCATTTTCTGAATAAAAATATTCTGTGGACATTACTAGTATGACTGATTTTAAAGCATTTTTATAACTATGTAACTCATGGTACCTGTGTTTAGTCTAATTCTCCAAGCCATTAATCCTTTATAAGGATTAAACTTCTTTGAGACTTTATATATATCTCTCTATATATATACGAATGAGAAAAATAGGTTTTAATACACACTTTTTTTTTGCATGTAAATATCTGCTTCTTTCTTTGCATATGCGTTATCATTTTTGGTAATATGCTTATCTGTGTCCGCTTCACAGGCACGCCTTACTACACTGGTAACTAGCTACCATGGAAAAGGTCTGTGTGACAACATTTTCTCACATGTCAGATCCCCTACTCTTGCTTTGTGGGAATAATCCCACTAACTTCAGTGAGACAAGACACCTAAGACAAATAGGGGTTTGACCCATTGTGTTCCTACAGAATTCTAGTTGAACATCTGCAGTATGTTACATCATAACTATTTTATGAAAAATAGTACCCAAGTACAGACTAAGTCCTAAAAGACTACTGAAGACTAATTGCTGCAAAGGAAACACTCTACCTTAGTCTGAGGATGTGGATGCCAGGCTTGCTAAATATTTACACAACTAACCATCGAGAACGGGCCTGTAATATTGCCTAAATATATATTTACACATGTTTACAAATTAAAAGCCAAATCCTTTTTTTCCACTAATATCAATGGGAGTTTTGCCATTGGCTTGGGTGGAATCAGGGATTCGGTCCAACAGAATAGTTTGTCAACTGTTATATTTTTCAGAAAAAAAAAAAAAAAGTGTTTCTTCTATCCTTTTTCTTTTAGAACACAGCTAAGGGGAAGACAAAATTTAAGCAACTCCACTGGATTGATTTTATGTTAAAAGTCTAATGTAAACCTACAAAGCAGGAACATTGAGTTAAGGCTTGAAGCTGATTAGTTTCTAGTTTTAAGTGGAAGGATAAGAAAAGTACAAGGCAAACAATTCCTTTGGAGAGAGAAAGTGTATTTTGATTACCTCTTCCTTTTATTGTAAAATCATTCCTCACCACACTATGAGTGGACTCCAAGCATCATTGTTAGCAAGTAAGTCACAAGAACCAAAGCTGAAGTATGGATAAAGCAGCAAGATCATAACACATCAAAGTATCATATACACTGAAGAAATAACTCGGCGTCCTTAGGTGGTTTTTTTTTTCCTATAAAAATTTGATCTATGTAGGACTTCATTCACATGGACACTAACAACGAGGAAGTATTTGCTTTGGCGGTAGTGGATTGCACATCTGTTTAACTGGTTTTGTAATTTTTTAACACAAGGTTTCTCTGTGTCGTACAGATGTGAATCAGGTAGCATTCGACTTTTTTCCCCCGCTACTGAGGTGTTTGGTGGTCGCTCTGCTGGGGTGCTTGTTTCATTGACTTTTGCCACGCAAATCCATTGCTCAGAAGAGCAAGCTTCATTTTTGGACTGGTTTGGTGGGTCTTTTTACTCATTATCAGTCAGCATAAATAATAAATCCAGAAAATGTGCTGTATTTGTTGTTGTTTCCTCCATGTGCTTTTCCTCCATCTAATTTAATGTAAACTTCATCTCCTGGCTCCAGGTGAAGAACCACGCTGTTACTCGCATAGTCGTAGTTCTGATCAGCATCCTGAGCGATCGCACTAGCTCGAACCTACGTAAAATACATAATGAGTGGTTAAGAAAACTCAGATAATTTTTACTGCACGGTGAAATAAAAGCATATCCGCAACGTTTTATTCAGCCTGTGTATGTTGCCACCTTAAATGTCTAGCAACATACATTGTGGGTTTTTCATATGGATATTACAACACGACATTCGAAACTAAAGCAATAACCTGCTCATTTCTTGGTTAGCATATTAATACACAACCGCTTGCGCTCTGGTAAATGTTTGGAGCCTTTTTTAAATATATGCATAATAATAGCTGGAGATCGGAGAACTGAATCTGGTCATGTGCCCGTTCTCCACTGGTGTAACTTTTATTTCAGCAGAACAAGTGATTGACGGTGGTGAGGATCCACAGTGAGGCCCTATTGATACCAGGCTGGACTTCTTCCAGAGGCAAGTTATTGTCATACTACTAATAGGATCATGCTGCAGACAGAGTACAGAAAGCACACGCACACCCACACGCGTGCACACGCCAATGCACACAAGCAGGTAAGGATCCTAGCTGGGGTTTGGAAAAACTGTTATTGCCATGTTTCAGTAAGCAAGCATCTAATTTCTGTGTGTTGTAAGAGACGCACATTTGAAAGATCACAGGTGAGTTGCTATTTGCTTTAAGAGGTTTTGGGATTTACAAGTAACTGAGCACTTTTCATTTGCAACTTTCACATAAACATACATTTTTTTTCCCATTTCTCCCTGGTTATTCCACTCCTGATTAAATTTGACATTGCTAGCAAACTGGAAGTAATCTGTAATTTCAAGATGTATGTTGATTTCAAGCAATGAATAGCCTGTGCTGTTGTAAGTCTCCAAATCATTTATACATAATTTGACCCTGTTTGGTAAAATATTTAAATTTAGTTGTACGTGATTTATTTCAGTGTAACACATCATCTGCTTGTTGCTTGTCTTTGTTCTAGCGTAGTTACAGAGCAGTAAGTGATTTAGTGGTACTGCAAACCTGAACTAAGTAATAATGCATGACTTAGCGTACTATATGTGGGATTTTATCTGTTCTGAATTGAAAAAAGAGGCTATAAGTCACAAATTTCCATGGATTCCTTTCAAAGTTTAAATGATAAATTTCCAAATTAAATTTTCATGTGATACGATCTCACATTAATATCGAAATGTTAAAAAGGAGGGGGTTCTTTACCATGCAGGATCTCATGGCATTATGCAGCTTAAAAAACACAGTAGGTGGAAATTCTTTATACATCCTGTAAGAAGAGTGAAAAAGGCTTAAAAGACTTTTAGTGGTGTGACAGTCTGCAAATTTAAACTGAAACATGGCATGATCATAAACCACAACTATTTCAGGACTACTTGATCCTGAATTGCCTGGTGGTGTTTACAGAGGCGATCTATTTTGCTGGTGTTTAAGCAATAATTACTCTAAGCAGAGGGTATTTCCTCTGGATGAATGACTAGCGGGGTGGAGCTGAAGGCTCTGGGCCGTTAACCCTGGCAATACCCTCCAAAGAAAATAATGGGCTGAGACTGTTTCTGGTGGTGTAAATGGCAAAGGCAAACGGGGAGGAATAAAAAGGCTATAGATGAGGTAGAAAAACTTTCATAGA